GTTGGAGGATTATCTGCTTTATTCAAAGTCTACTGATTTAAATATTACTCTCATTTAAAAAATACCTTCACAGAAACATCTAGAATAGTGTTTGACCAAATATCCGGGTACCATGCCTAGCCAAACTGACTCGTAAAATTAACCATCACAGGCTCCCAGTTTTTCTAAATTGATCTGCTAACCCAAACTCAGCCTTTAGGAATTAGTGAAAATTTTAGCTATTTTTTTTCTTTATTGCTTTTAGAGAGAGGAAAAGAGAGGGAGAGAGAGATAGAAACATCAATGAGAGAGGACATCGATTGGCCGCCTCCTACATGCCCCCTACTGGGGATCAGGCCCACAACACGGGCATGTGCCTTGACCGGGAATCAAACTGGTGACCTCCTGGTACCACACCAGTGGGGCATTAGCTTTTTTTTTTTTTTTTTTTTTTTACCCACTTCTATGGTAGTCACCTTTCCTTCAGTGCTCTGCCAAATGTGGAACAGTTTGTGCATCTCTCCTCTCCTTAGTAGGGCGTGGCACCTTTCGGAATTTGGTTATGTGATTGTCTTATGATCTCAGCTCTCTAAAGGATTCAAGAAAATTTATGATTTTGTAGATTATCCACTCTCTCTCATAGGTAGGATGGGTGTGATCGCCCTTGCAGCCTTCTACGTCCTAAGTGGAAACAGAGTTCCCATTGTTTTTACCATGGGTGCCATCTCCGTGAAGGACAAAAGTTATATTTGTGAGTCTAGCACAGGGGTTGCAAGTTGATGGCCTGCAGATTTCCCATACATGAAAACTTACATTTCTACATTATTTTGAGAAATGTGAACATCTGACATGCTTGAGCCATATTTACTGACTTTTTCATGGGGAAAGGGCTCTTCAGCTGTACAGTGGGCCCAGAGTGACAGTTACCTCCCAACACTGACTCCTCCTCCATCCCCATAGGGCAAACCATTCTGAGACCCAGGTTAGCTACTCAGTGTCCCCTTCAAACGGGCTCTATGACAGAGCATTGTTCTGTGCCAAAAGCAGAATGTGGCATGTGATGTCTGAATGCCCTGGGCTCGGTCATAGGTGGTAAAGATCTTTGATCTCCCTGGGAGGGGACATCATACACCTATTCTACCATAGCTAGGGGTCTCACGTGGAACTCAAATGTGGCTGCAGAACCGCATACATGGAAATAGCAACCCAATCAAGTAAGCAATCAGAATGCTATTTCTGTGTCTCACCAGAAAGCAGTGTACCCTGTGATAATCCAAAGGAATCCTGGGGGTAAGTGTTACTCCCCTGGGAGAGGCTGCAGGGATGGTTGAAGCCTTTGGACTCAGGCCTTGCACTTCAACTCTGACCTAAGTGGGAGGCGGACAAGGGTCAGCCCTCCACTCAGAGGCCAGTGTGCTCCTCTCCAGAGCACATTCCACCACCAGGTAAATGACACCAAATAGTTACCAAACTACAGGGACTTTTTCACAGGGTGGAGCCTGTGGATCTGTGGGTTTACTGCCTCAGCTGCTGTTCCATTTCTGGGGTGCAGAGGAAGGACCTCAGGATTAGACTGAATTGGACAGAATTGTTTTCTTAAGCATCTGACAGTGTATGTCATTTAGGGAATGGAGATAAATGAAGCCAAGGAAGGGAGCCAAGGCCCATATTAGAGAAGCAACCTCTTGAGACAGGTCTGAGGGGAGGGTCTGGGGTCTGATCAGGAAACCAGGCTGAGGGCTGAGGGTGAGGGGATGGAGAGCTAATTGGATGGCACGTGCTGGACAAGAAGATGGATTCAGGATGAAGAGGGTCCAAAGGATTTTAGGCTCAGAAGAGGGCCAGACTGCTTGACACCAAAATGACCACTGACCAAGCACAGGAGCACCTGAAATACTAACCATCCTTAAACCACCCTGGGCCTCCCACCAACTCTGCAGAAACTAAAAGCTTTTGGAACACATACAGGGTTAAAAAGAAGACATCAAGCAAATGGAAGTTCACAAGAGCACTTCTAACTTCATGAAAAATAAGATTAATCAGTGGAAGTAGGAACTTTTAAAGAAAAGAATCAGAACTACTTCTCTTACAAACAAAGCTCTAACCTCTTAGCAATTACAACTCTGATTGCAAGGATCTTACTCAAGTGCTTGAAGAGTCTTTTACTGCCAAGAATGAGCAAACTGCACTTCAAATAACGGAATTACAGAATTCAGCTCCGGTCTAAATGGGCCCAGACAAATGCCATAGACAATTTTCAGGCTGAAGTAAGAATGAGGTTTTTTGTTTCTCAGAGAGTAAATGTTTTTATTAAGGTATAAAATTAATTCATAGCCACTGAAGAAAATCTTCAAAATACACAAAAGTGTAAAAAATAAAACAAATATCCATATTCCATAATCCAGAGATGGTTTACACTTTAAATGTGTTTTTTTAATCCTCACTGAGGACATTTTTTTCCATTTTTTTGTTCAGATAGAGGGGGAAGGGGGGAGGGAGAGAGAGAGAGAGAGAGAGAGAGAGAGACATCGACGTGAAAGGGACACATCGAGTGGCTGCCACCCGCACGACCAACCAGGAGACAAACTGCAACCAAGGCACACGCCCTTAGTGGGAACCGAACCTGGGACTCTTTGGTCCGCAGGTTGATGCTCCAACCACTGAGCCAAACCAGCCAGGGCTTTTTTTTTTTTTTTTTTTAATCATTTTACATACAATTCCAGTAAATATCTATGGCTGTAATCTTTGTGCATCTGATTATTTCCTTAGGAGGAATTCTCAGAATATTAAGATTTAAGAGCTTCTGGATACTTACTTTCAAATCACTTTTCAAAATGGTCACACTTCTTTCTATTCATTTTAACAATGTATGAGCATGGCACTGAGCATTCTCATTAAAAAAGAGAGAAAACAAAAAACCTTTGTCCATTTGGTAGTTGAAAAATGGAATCTAGCTGTTTGGTTTTGTATTTCTTTCATTATCAGTTGGACATTTCTTCATATGTTTATCGAATATTTTTCTTCTATGAATTATCTTTTTGTGCCATGTACTGTTCTTCATATTTGGGGTAAGCAACTTGCTTTAATTTTGATGCGATTTTGCTATAGCAGGATTCAAAGGGAATTGGGAAAAGAAACTTATGATGCTAAAAGTCTTTTGATTTATAGCTCTAAGTTTTCCAAGGTTTCCACTGAAGCAAAATATAAAGAAAATTATTTTTCTAGAGCACAATCTCTCAAGGTGTGGCCCTTGGACTCTGTGCATCAGAACCAATGGGTGGGAGAGGGGGAACATGTATTTAAATTACAGATTCCTAAACCCCACCCCAGGCATACAGAGTCAGTCAGCATCTCTGACAGTTGGACCCAAGAACACAACTTCCTATAATTTCCATGTATGTTCCATTTTTCTTAAACTTGATTAATGAATTATCATTCATCTATTCAGTCCCTCAAGTTAGAAAAATTATAGCCATCCCATTCTTTGCATCTCTTGCCTCTTCTCATGTATACAATAACTTACCTTCACCAACAAATGTTTTTATATCTTTTCCTCTCCTTCTCAACCTTATTATCTTCCTGTCTTCTCTCCTTTCTCCCATTTATTATACCCGTAATTTCTATCATCACCCTACCCTTACAGTGCACGGGATAAGGACAAGTATACATTCTAAGTAGTAATATGTTAGAAGTTTCTGCTTGCTATACAAAAAGTTCTAGATAAATATCCTCCCCACCACTCTTCTTCCAATTTTTTGCAGCCCCCAAACTCTTCCTTATTCTAGGGAAGGGGTGAGAAACGGGGGGTTTTTAGAGAGATTTATGGTCTAGGGAAGTTCAGACAAAACTCAGTAAGTAGCTTGAAAGTGCAAGAGACAGCTGTGGCCAGTGTAAGATCCTGGGAGTCAACCATCTGAGTGACAACCCAATTCTGGCTGGCCCTAAGGGTGGGATGCTGAAGTGTCTGAGAAGAAGGGTCATCTGCACAGACCCTAAAATAGCTCACATGTATGCTGTTATTCACAAGCAGAGAACCAGGAATGTGAACAGTTCAGAGTAACCTTTCTCCATCCCTGGAAAAACAACTTAGAGTAAAGAACAAAGGGTTACTGTGTTGGTTCCTCCCATGTAAAAAGAAACAATAATTTTGATGGATTTGGTGGGACATTTTGGAGCCAAGTCATACTGTGTGTGATTGTTTTTTAAAGGTGCTAGGACTTAATTTTCAGATCTGGAATAAGAACAGGTGGTGGCTGATGGCAGGAGTCACAATGGTTTCCATGACAACAGCATTGGGGTTTAGTCATCCTCCCATCCTCCACAAAACCTTCTGCAGCTTTTCTCATAAGGTGCTTATTAAATATTTGTTAAATGAATCATGAATCACAGAATGGTGTGTGTACTTTGCAATTAAGGCTGCCGTTCTCTAGCTAGCTAAAAGCTTTTAAAGCAACACTAATTACTGTATTTACACGATATTTTGCATAATTTGCATATTAACTTAACCTGAAAATAATAAGCTACAGATTCTCATCCCTGCTGAACAATCCTGTCCCGTATCTGTTCCTTATTGTGAAAGAAGTAGTCCAGATTTTTGAAATGGCCTTGAGGGTGAGGGTGGTGGTGGTGTTGTGTGCCCTGTACCCTATTTGTTCTTCCACAGTTGCTAGAACATTTGTTTCCCATACCACCACCACCACCACCCCCTCCCCGCTTTCGAGCTTCTTACCCCCCTCGGGATCCGTGCAGCCGCCCACGCGCAGGCACTAGCCTGCCCCTCCCCCGCGCCCCTCTTCCCGCGCTAACGCTGGAGCGGGTGGGGCCCAGCGGAGAGCACAAAAGGCCTCCGCAGCCGGCGTCCCGCGTTGCCCTTGGCAACCATTGAGCGGAGTCTCGCTCTAACCAGACCCTGCGAGGAGGTAGCAAACGGGGCCTCCATTGGCTGGCTAGAGACGGCTAGCCAATCGGAGAAGAGGTTGTAAGGAGGCGGCTGAGCGAGGTTGTAGGGGTAAGAAGTTAGGTTTAGAGGCAACCGGTGAAACTAGAACCCTGAGCGTGGTCGGTTGGAGCAAATATGTCTGCCCGGAGGCACATTGGGAATCCTGAGGTGAGGGCCAGGTCCGGATCGGAGAGGCGGAGGGGCGGGCGCACCGGAAAAGGCTCCACGTGGGCAGGGACGAGCAGCCGGCGACTTCCGCCGCCCGGAAGGCGGGAAGCGGCCGGCGTGAGGAGGGGTCTGGAGCGAGGAGGGCGAAGGGAGGCGGGGCGGGCCGGGGGCGCGGAGCCTGGCCGGCAGCCCGAGTGGGGCCCCACCCGCCCTTGCTCCCTGTGTGCCGGCACTTGCCGCTGAGATGAGCCAAGTGCATCAAGACACAGCCCCTCCCCTCAAAGGGCTTCCAGTTTAGGAGCCGCAGATACAGAACATAAGCAAGCGCGATCGAAGCCCCGAACACGCAGGGACAACATCAGATGAGCCGTCCTTCCTTAGGCCGGGAATACAGAGAGCAGGGATGAGCAGCCCTTTAGAAAGGGCGCGACCTCTGACATGCGTTACCCCCGCCCCACAGGGCCTTTCACTGTTTCACCCTCGTGCCCTCCGCATTGTGTTCATTCATTTCAGCCAGTGTTCCTGGAGTAGGTGCTGGAGATGCACAGGGTAAGCGAGGCCTTGTGCTCGCGTGAGTGCAGCCTCCCGGCGAGACTTGTAAGCAACCTGCACGCCGCGGGGTTGGCCGCGCGACGTTCAGAGGGCACAGAGGGAAGATGGGTCCACTGGGGACAGGAGGTCCTGGAGATGGCCCGAAAGGGCCAGGCTGTGCCCAGGTGAGGAAGCACTGCAGACAGGACCGCGAGGAGGGGTGAGGCGGGCGTGGGGCGGCAGGGGGCAGGTCTGGCCCGCTGGGCCTTGCTGCTGGCGGGGCCTTGCACGTGCGTCCTCGCACAGTCATCGCCTGTGAGCTCTGCCGAGAAAGTGAGGCCGAGCCGGGGCTCTCCCGGCGAGCGCCACGGTGGACTCGCCTCTGCCACGCCGGTGGCGGCGGAGGTGTGGACAGCGGCAGTGAAACCCCCACGCGTTTATCTCGTCCGCCGGCCAGAATTCAAGAACCTTTTGCGGAGTTTCAAGGAAAGCGGGACACGATCAGATTTGCATTTTAGGCACATGGTGGAGACGCATCGTGGAGAACGGGTTCGAGGAGCCCAAGACTGGGGGCAGGGACACTGGTTCGGTGGTTATTACGTTGCAGACCTAAGTAAGGCCATGCACTGGGGACAGCACTGAGAAATACGTGGGGGGTCGAATCATCACGACTTCATGGTTAGCTCTGAGCAGTGAGAGAGGGATGGGTGACTTGGGTTCCCAGCTTGGGGTAACGAGATCAGGAATGGGGGTGAAAGAGGTTGTAGGGAGGCAGGATGTGTGATTTACACATCTGTGTCCTGAGTGAAGATGCCCAGCTTGAGCGAAGATGCCCAGCTTCCTTTGTTTCAGTGGAGCACAGTTTCCTGTGGTTTCTTGAGAAAGAGTGCGTAAGCAGTAAGTGTTTTTATTTATGCCTAAAATGTTAGGCATGTCTAAAAATGTTATTACTCTACCTTCACGTGTATCAGCCTGAGAGTTTGGTTGAGTATAGAATTCTTGGTTGGAAATCATCAGCTTTGTGAAAACATTGCATTGTGGTCGTCTAGCATCAAATGTTACTGTGGAGAAGTCCAAAGCCTTCTTTGCGTTTGTATGCAACTTGATTTTTCCTTTCCGGAAGCTTGTGGAAGTTTTCTTTGTCCCCAGTGTTATCATCTTTCACAAAAAATATTCCTTGCTCTGAGCCTATTTTCACCCATATTGTTAGGCACCAGAAATTCATGTCTCTCTGTTCTGTAAATTTCTTAAACATTATTTTATTGTTGAGTTTCTCCCTTTCATTTTCTCCATCCTCTCTTTCTTGAATTCATTATTCTGACATTGCTTCTATATGACTAGTTCTCTAATTGTTTTAAAAAGTTTTATGTCCTGTTTTCCACATCTTTGTCTTTTTGCTCTCTTTGGGAGATTTGTTTAACTTTATCTTCCAGTCTTTCTAATGAGTTATTTATTTCTGCCATAATGTTTTAACTCTTAAGAGCTGTTTTTGATTCTGACGTTCTTTTTAAACACTTTTATTTTGAAATAAACACAAATTCACAGAAATTTGCAACAACAGTACAAAGTACTCCCATATGCCGTTTACCCATTTTCCCCCAATGATTATATTTTATATAAATATAGTACAATATCACACCAGAAAATTGACATTTTTACAATGTGGGTATAGTTCTAGGCCTTTTTTTTTTTTAAATCACATGTGTAGATTTAATATAATTAAAATTTGCACATGTGTAGATTTTGCAATCAAAATACAGAACTAGTCCATCAATATCTCCCTTATACTACCCCTTCCTAGTCACATCCACTTTGTTCCCCCTCATTATCCTAACCCCTGGCAGCCACTGTGTTCTCCATTTCTGCAATTTGTAATTTTGAGAATATTACAGAAACGGAATCAAGCAGTATATGACCTTTTGAGATTGGCTTTTTCCCACTAGAATAATGTCCTTGAGATGCATCCAAGTTGTCTCCTGTAGCAATGGTTCATTCCTTTTTATTGCTGATTAATATTCTGTAGTATGGATCTATAACCGTTTATTTAACCATTCAACTATTGTGGAATATTTGGTTGCTTTCAGTTTGGGGCTGTTACAAATAAAGATATGAACTTTTTGGTACAGTTCTTTGTGTGATGTTAATTTTCATTTCTGTGGGATAGATGCCTAGGAGTACAATTGCTGGGTTGTATGGTATGCTTACATTTAGTTTTTCTAGAAACTGAGTATATGTGACAATGGTATATACGACATACCATATAGTCTAGGTCTAGGTATGTAGTAAGCTTGTGTAAGCACACTGTATGATGTTTGCACATTGATGAAATCGCCTAACTATGCATTTCCCAGAACGTATCCTCGTTGTTGGGTGGCACATGACTGGACTGACAAGTTTTTGTATGGGTGTGTGTGTGTTTTCATTTCTCTAATAGTGTTTTTAAGTATTTTTTCCCCACATAGCCTCAGTTTCCTTTGTATTGCTATTTTTCTTTCTGTTTTGTTGGAGATGTTTGTATCAGTAAGCTTGAGCTGCCATAACAAAATAGCACATTTTGGGTGGCTTACACAACAGAAATTTTTCTCATGGTTTTGGAGGCTGGGAAGGTTAAAATCAAAGTGCTGGGCAATTTGGTTTCTAGTGAGAGCTCTCTCCTGGCTTGCAAATGTGCTCACATGACCTCTTCTTTGTGTGCATGTGTGGAAAAGGAGCAGGTTCTTTGGTGTCTTTTTATAAGAACACTAATCCTATTGGACTTGTGCTCCACCCTTATGACCCCATTTGACTTTAATTACCTCCTAAAGGCCATATCTCCAAAGAGTTACATTGGGGATTGGGATTTCAATATATGAATTGGGGGCGGGGGGAACAATTCAGTCTATAGCAATGTTCTCAGACTTCTTTTATTCCTAAATTGTTAATTTATGTGGGAGACTTAAAAATGTGATTCGAGCCCTGGCAGGTTTGGCTCAGTGGTTAGAGCATTGGCCTGTGGTCCAGAGAGACCCGGGTTTGGGTCCCCTAAGGTCACATACCTCGGTTGCAGTTTATCCCCAGCCCTGGTTGGTCATGCAGGTGGCAGCCACTCAAAGTGTCCCTTTCGTGTCAATGTTTCTCTTTTTCTCTCTCTCTTCCTCTCTCTCTCTCTCTCTTTCTTCCTCTCTCACCCTCCCACTCTATCTGAACAAAAAATGGAAAAATTTCGGGTGAGAATAAAAAAAAAGTGATTCGGATCTTCATATATTGGGAGGGACTTGGTGATGATGAGCTTAATTACAAGATCTCACTGAACCATGATTTGGGGACTCCCTCTCCCAATGTTCCCTCCTTTCATCTCTTTTCTCTTAGGCTAGTCATTTTCCTTAGAGCAACCCACCCTCCTGAGAGTAAAAGCCTAGTTGAATTCCTAGAGGAACCAGGGCTAGGGAATATCTCAACACTAGTGTGCATCATTTACTTAAGGACCCCTATTTTCAGTAATGGTAACTCTACCTTTCCCTTTGTCTGGAGACCTCCCAGTCCAGAAACCCTTTCCAGGGAATAAATCTCAAGGTATGTACCATGGTTCGGGGAGAGGCAATCACCCCGTGGCATAGAGGGGAGAAGGTTTTGGAGATCCAAATGCTTCTCAGTCAGTCTTCAACCAGTCTTCCTTATTTCATCTTCTTTTATGCCCTTCTTTGGAGTTGCCTGGGGCTATCAATTCCTAAGCCTTTTAAGAATTGTTCTTGGCTTTCCCTTTGACTCAAAAGTCCATCAAGTCATTTTCACTTTCTAGATTTCAGAAATCTATTGCTATCACTTCTCCCACTCTCTCTGTTTTTTGGGTATTATGTCCTTAAAATAATATCCTTTCAATGGGATTTTACTGAGGTTTTGGAAGGAAGTGAAATTAGATGCACTTGGTCAATATACTATCTTCAGCCAGTAAATTATGGTCTGTAATTATTTTATTTGCTTGTTTATTTTTGGCACACTTATAGGCACATAAGATAGGGACCTTGTCGGCATTGTCCCACTGTCTGATACACAATAGTTGTTCCTTAAATATTTGTTGAATGAGTAAATGCATATATGTCTGAACTGGGAGAAGTCAAGGCTAGAGTTCACTATTTCGAAATCAGAAGCATGTAAATGGAATTAAACTAAGTTTTTGGCTCACAGAGAACCTATTGGTTGAGAAGTTAGAACCCTGACAACACAGTGTTTAAGTGACTGACAGAAGAATGATCCATGTGTCATCTTGAAAAATGCAGTATGTCACAGGTGGTAGCTGCTGGCAAAGTAGGGGCTGCTGTATGTACGAACGTGGGTCAAGGTTGTTATTTGAGATCAGTAGAACTGGACTAGATTAAAACTCTCACTTGAAAACAAAAGTTCTCCTTTAAAAGACCCATTTTAAATGTGGGATCGCCTTAAATGAGACTTTTTATAATTGACACACACTCCCTTCATTTAAAGACTTCCTC